CTCTGCCACACTTGTGATCTCACTTTCTGTCAAATGTTCATATTTCAGTCTAACCCTATAAAACAAGGAAGTTAAATGCTTTTTGGTACAGACGTGTTTAGTGCGGTGTCATCTTTCAGCAGCATCTGCTTCTGCAAATAGCAGTGATCGATTTTTGTCTTTAGCTGCCTGTTATCAAAATCTTAAGGATATAGCAATGTGATTCTTGTGTTGAATTAATAGCAGGTCATCTTTGGAAAGATGACACTGTTGTTAAGTGCCAAGATTAAGGAAAAGAAATCCAGTCATGCTGGGATGATAATCGATTTGGTGCGATGTCTTTCTGTCTCCATGAGCGTATCTGTTGGTCTTGCTGCATATGCACTCCTACTGAGCTCACAGCAGCAACTAAAATTTTAGAACTATATTCCAGATATTTTTCATTTTATATTATCTTTTTTTCCATTCTTTGTTTGTCAGTTAGCAATCTCTATTTTAATCGGTTAAAAACCAACATTAAATAAAGATGCAGTGTTGCGTGTTGATGCATAGAAATGTACTGGAATTGGTGACTAAATGTGCTAGGAAATTGGTGACTAAATGTTGCATGCATTTGGAAGGCCTGAGGTGACTGCAAGGTTAGAGGTGTCTGACAGCGGGCGTGAAGAGCGTGGGTCACAGAAGAGCTTGGCTTGGCAGGGTCCTTCAGAAGCCCCAGTCCGGTTCCCTGCGTGATGGCTGGGACCAAGTGCAACGTCAGATCCGCTCGCTCAGGGCCTCGCACAGTCGCTCCAGCCCTGCTCTGTTGCACAACCATCCCTGTTGTGAAAACCTTCTTCTTTATATTCGGCTGAGTTGCCCTTGCTGCAGTTCAGACCATTCTTCTCATCCTTTCGCTGGGGGGAGCAGGGCTCTGATGGCCTGTTGGGGTGGGAGACTGCAGCTAGAGCCCCTCCTGCCCTCCCCAGCCTGAGCAATTCCCCTTCCCTCTCGCTCGCTCAGCATGGCAGAGACCCCTTGAGTGTCCCGGCAGCCTTCTGCTGCAGCCCCCCAACTTTTTGGTCACTTATACTGGTGGGGCTGAAAATCCAGTTGTACTCTTCAGGATTATAAACTACCACCACCACTTCACGTGCTTCCTTCTTTGTCTGTTTCATTTCTGCATGAAAGCAGAAGTTTTATTAAATAAAGCTTGGGTTTGGATATACTTTTCAATAATTCAGTGATGCTACAACAGGTTGTTTTTCAGTAGATGTGACTACTCATTTACAAATACTGCAGTTCTTGGTAAAATAGAAGATGTAGGAAAATGAGCAGGATAATTTTAAGTGACACTCTGAATGAAGCACTGGTATGGGCAAACAGTCTCTTTTAAAAAAAAAAAAAAAATAATAGAAAAGAACTGAAAAGCCAATGTCACTGGAGTGAAACATTTGCTTTCAAAGTCTCCTGTGCTGCAAACAATTGTTTTCAAAACATAGAGTACAAGCTTGATTTAGATTTTCTGTTTTTTTTCTCCTAGAAGGCCTGAATTACCGAGGCCTAGGCTGGCTGTCAGTAAGCCGTGTATGGATTAGCCTAGGTAGTTGGGAATTCCTCTATTTCTAAAAAATCTGTTGGTGTTAAACATTGCCATGATTGGCCATGGCAACTTACCTCCTGCTTCAAACAGGCTGGACTGCAGCAGAATATAAAGGGTGTATTTGCTTCGTTCTAAATAAATGTTTTATCACTTTGCAGTAATTGGATTGCTATTGTATTTCAGTAATTATTCCCAACAGCAAATCTGTTCTCTACTTTGCAGGCGTGTTCCCTGACTGACCTTCATGCAGCCTGTCTGAAGGTGTCTTCCTTGATCTAATTCTGTACGATGAGTTTTTTGGGGTTGTTTTTAAAAAAAGGGGAAGTACTGGCAGGGGTAGAATAATTTGTCTTTGCTCCAGTTGTCATGGTGCAAAAGTATAAGCAGCCAATGTCACTGGAGTGAAACATTTGCATTCAAAGTCTCCTGTGCTGCAAACAATTGTTTTCAAAACATAGAGTACAAGCTTGATTTAGATTTTCTGTTTTTTTTCTCCTAGAAGGCCTGAATTACCGAGGCCTAGGCTGGCTGTCAGTAAGCCGTGTATGGATTAGCCTAGGTAGTTGGGAATTCCTCTATTTCTACAAAATCTGTTGGTGTTAAACATTGCCATGATTGGCCATGGCAACTTACCTCCTGCTTCAAACAGGCTGGACTGCAGCAGAATATAAAGGGTGTATTTGCTTCGTTCTAAATAAATGTTTTATCACTTTGCAGTAATTGGATTGCTATTGTATTTCAGTAATTATTCCCAACAGCAAATCTGTTCTCTACTTTGCAGGCGTGTTCCCTGACTGACCTTCATGCAGCCTGTCTGAAGGTGTCTTCCTTGATCTAATTCTGTACGATGAGTTTTTTGGGGTTGTTTTTAAAAAAAGGGGAAGTACTGGCAGGGGTAGAATAATTTGTCTTTGCTCCAGTTGTCATGGTGCAAAAGTATAAGCACTTCAGTTTATGCTTGAGCTTTAGCTGACTCTGGAGAGGCAGTTACGATGCAGCGCTTTTTCAAAATGCATTGTGACATTTCGGGCTGTGTAGAACCACACTTCTCTCGGTATCGCAACCCAAATATCCTGCCAAGATTTCTCATACTTGGTGGAAATTTGTTCTGTATTTAACATGTCGATAGACAAATAACTTCCTAAAGTATCTCATAGTTGACCAAGGAATTCATACACTTGTCTGAGGATCAGACAGAGTCTGCCAGGGAAGTTCTGGCTCACTGGATGGCAATTTTATGTGCAAGAATAATATTTGGTGATTAAATCTTAATGGGTTTCCGGAGTAGCTAATATTTTTTTCAAGAGGAAAGCACTGCTGAATGTCCTTAGTGAGGACTGTCTTGTGATAGCCTGCCTTTTGTACAAACTCTTGTAGGAGAGTCTCTGTGTTATGCAGACCCCACTAACCCCTCAAAAGGTGGCTCCATCCCCTGTCTGTCTGTCTGAAGCTCTAAGCTTTTGGTTGATTGCCTGCCTGGCAGATTGTATTTATTTCAAATGTATGGCATTAGACAGTGAGCTCATTTCCACAGTCCAGAATTAGGCTATTCCGATGCCATTTTCTGTTAACTCTAGTCCTAATCCTGCTTTCTGAAAACGATGCTTTCTACATTGCCTAAAACATGTTTTGAGGATGATTAACCTACTCCAGTGTCTAGAGAACCATATTTTATCAGAACAAAACCATCTTGCTGGGTATTGTTACAGTGCTTATTTCCATCATGCTCACAGGTTTTTGTGAAGCATTTAGTCACGGAGAGCAGTACAATGGCATTAAGCTGCGAGCTGCCTTTGCGGCTGTCGTGGCTGTGGGATGCAGCCCTGTTAAAGCATGTTCCCTGTGCAAGCCTGCCTCTTGGTTTGGATTGGGACTCTTCACAAGACAGGAGCTGCACTGTAACTCACAGGCCAGGCCAGTTTTACGCATGAGTAGTCTGGGCAGCATCTGATCCTGTACCGGTGGCATTAGTAAAGAAATCTTCCTTTGGAGATAGTGAAGGTCTTGCTGTGAAGTTCAGTTTTGTGTTTTCTTCCTGTATTGGCTTTTATGCGGTCTCCACTAGGCATCAGTACTTTCATCCTCACGCTTTTCATCACTTCCTTCCCTACGGTGCTGTCGTCACCCTACGGCTGAAGCTGCTTCCGTTCACAGAGCCCACCCTCACGGAGCCAACCCTCGTGTCTCCAAACAGCACTGGGGATCTGCTTTGATCAGGGAACTTGTGACCTTGCATTTCTTTCCTTCAGTGATGGAAACCTGTTTGCAGAATGGGTTCCTAGATTGGTTTGTATGTCATGGTACTTAAATCACATGAGCGGGGATTCGGGTGGTGTGATGGCTGAAGGAAGAAGGGGTATGTCAGTGCTCGTACCCCTAATCCCACCAACTACCCAGCGTACCTGGGCATCCTATGAGAACATAGTTTTACTAGCTCGTTGCTCTTAATGGATCATCAGCATTCTCCCTTTTCTTTTAACTTCTGCTTGTTCTAAAGAATAATTTAGACAAATAAGAATAATGTAAATCTAGTTATGCTAAAGCTTTGTGCTCTTGGCTATATCCTTTCTTCTCCCATCAGTATGGGTGAACTCGTTGTTACTGAGAATGATGCTTGGGAGGCTTATGAGACCTGCTCTTAAAAATCAAAGTATTTATATTTTGGCGGTTATTTTGACTCCCCTCTCTCTCTTTGTATCCTTACCTGTTTCTTATTACCCCAAGTTTCTTAAATACAGTTTAGAATTGAATGGTTAATCTATATATATAGCTTATTTGAGTAATCCACTAAGGAAGTGTGTTTAGAGGAATTAATTTACAAAAGGAAAACTAGGGCTGTAAACTTGAAAACTTACTGATTATTTATAGAAAGAAAAAAAGCAGCTGTGCAAACTAATTAATCTTTTCTACCCAGCAAATGTAAAACTTGACTACTTCTACACAAGGCAAGTTACTTAATATTTTTATGGTAGACATGGTCTTTGAAAGCCTCGCTTTTGTACTATACTATTTATAAATGTAAAGATGAGTTTCTGCTTGTAAAACAACACTGTTTAGTTTTGGAACTTTGCATGTTTTGAAGTGCATGCAACCTGGCCGGGATGAAAAAACCCAGCCTCCCTAGTTGGTAGCAGTTTAGTTCTAGCATTCTGTGCATGAAGCTTGGTTACCAGGTAGGGTGCTTTGATGGATGGATCGCAGGTCTAGAGATCAAGGCCTCCAGCATTGTAATCACTTGTGTGGTGGGTTTCTCCAGTTTTCTCCCTGTACAGTCAGTTTTGTATTTGAAAAGCTGCCGAAAAAACAGTACTTTAGCAGTACTACGTGATTTAGTGTGTGCTAAAAAAATAAAATCACTTTTGGGCATGACGTAAGGCGGTGTAACTGAAAATATATTTTTCAAACCCGTTTTTTTTTTTATTATTTTTAATATTTCCAGGGAGGGATGAAACGATGCAGCCAGCCAAACCATCATTCCTTGAATATTTTGAGCAGAAGGAGAAGGAGAATCAAATCAATAGCTTTGGGAAGAATGTGTCTGGCCAGACAAAAAATTCATCTGATTGGAAGGTACCACAGGACGGAGACTACGAATTTGTAAGTCTATACTTTGAAATTCAATCAGTGTGACAATCTTTAAGACTTTTAGTCAGAGCTGCTATAAGATTATTTCTTGTTTTGACAGACTAATGGAAACTTGAGGAGATTCTAATTGCTAATGCATTTGGATGGGGCATTTTGAAAAACTCATTTCCTTTAGGTATTTCTTGGTAATCATAACCAGTCATTATCTGTATACTTTCCTTGTTTAAAAACAAACAAACGAACAAAAAAGCCTGAGGACATGAAGGAACAAGCGATCTTGCTTTACTTCCTCATTACGCATTTAAAATTAAAAAATAGAATTCCAGATGGCGGTTGGAAAATGCAAATCCTGAGTGTATAGTCTTAGAACCATTGAATTTCCTTGTTTTTCTCAAGCTTTGGCACTGGGTTTTGTTTTATTATATAAACATAAGCTTGTCTTCATTTCTCTTTCAAATCATCAATTTCAGTCTTCCTGCTAAGGTTCACAGGCTCAGAATTTTCAGGAACTTTTCAGAAGTCCAAAGAATCACAGAATCACAGAGTGTCAAGGGTTGGAAGGGACCTCGGGAGATCATCTAGTCCAACCCTCCTGCTAAAGCAGGGTCACCCAGAGCAGGTTGCACAGGACATCGTCCAGGAAGGGTTTGAATATCTCAAGAGAAGGAGACTCCACTACCCCCCGGGCAGCCTGTTCCAGGGCTCGGTCACCCTCAAAGTAAAGAAGTTCTTCCTCACGTTCAACCGAAACCTCTTATGCTTCATTTTGTGCCCATAACCCCTTGTCCTGTCGCTGGGCACCACTGAGAAGAGTCTGTCTCTGTCCTCATGACATCCACCCTTGAGATATTCGTACGTGTTGATGAGATCCCCTCTCAGTCTTCTCTTCTTCAGGGTAAACAATCCCAGCTCCCTCAGCCTTTCCTCACAAGGGAGATGTCCCCTCATCGTCTTTGTTGCCCTCCTCTGCACTCTCTTGAGGAGTTCCTCATCCTTCTTGAACTGGGGAGCCCAGAACTGGACACAGTACTGCAGGTGGGGTCTCACCAGGGCAGAGTAGAGGGGGAGGAGAACCTCCCTTGCCCTGCTAGCCATGCTCCTCTTAATGAGCCCCAGGATGCCATTGGCTTTCTTGGCAACAAGGGCACACTGCTGCCTCATGGTCAACTTGTCGTCCACCAGCACTCCCAGGTCCCTCTCAGCAGAGCTGCCTTCCAGCAGGTCAGCCCCCACCCTGTACTGGGGCATGGGGTTCAACCTCCCCAGGTGCAGCACTTGACACTTGCCCTTGTTGAACTTCATCAGGTTCCTCTCGGCCCAACTCTCCAGCCTGTCCAGGTCCCTCTGAAAGGCAGCGCAGCCTTCCAGTGTATCAGCCGCTCCCCCCGGTTTTGTGTCATTGGTGTCCTTGCTGAGGGTGCACTCTGTCCCCTCGTCCAGGTCATTGATGAACAAGTTGAACAAGACCGGGCCGAGTACAGAGCCCTGGGGAACCTCACTAGCTACCGTCCTCCAACTAGACTCTGCGCCGCCGATGAGAACCCTCTGAGCTCTGCCATGCAGCCAGTTCCTGATCCACCTCACTGTCCACTCATCTAACCCACACTGCCTGAGCTTCCCTATGAGGATGTTATGGGAGACAGTGTTAAAAGCCTTTCTGAAGTCAAGGTAGACAACATCCACTGCTCTCCCCTCATCTACCCAGCCAGTCGTGCAGTCGTAGGCGGCTATCAGATTGGTCAGGCATGATTTCCCCTTCTTTTCCTCCACTTGCTTGGAGAGGACACCCAGAATGAGTTGTTCCATCACTTTTCTGGGGATGGAGGTGAGACTAGCTGGCTTTCCATGCTGCTTTGTTTAGTATTCAAAGATTTAGTATTCAAAGATTCTATGATTTAATTCTTTTTGTGAGGATGGAAGATCTCTGGTTTGAGTTCAGAATGCCAGAAGATG